GATTTTCTTCCCCTACATCTCGTTATCTGTTTCATCTGCTATAACTCTGTTTCAGTCCCACTGGACATACCAAACACAACTGTTTTTTTTTTACTAAGAGGTAGGTGCAATGATCTTTCACAACTGCTTCCCAGTACCATCTGAGGGCTGAGCTTCCTTCCAACATCTCATCTGTCACAAAAACATTGGTCTGGCCTCCAGGTATCCTCTGCTTCTTCTACTTCATCCTTCACTTTTCCTTGCTACATCTCTCACTGTTTTCTCAAGCTTCCTCGCTCTTTTGATACTTCTTTTGCTCTTAGACTCATCTTGTTTGCCCAACAGTGCCACAAACAAGACAAATAATGTATTAAGATAACCACTCATACCCATGTCTTCTTGCATCCCCAATACCATGCAAACATACACATACAAACACTGTGTTGCTGCCACTGTTGTTCCGTAACAACAGTGATGATTTTGTGAAGTTACAGATCACAATCAGCATGATTAGCACATATTCAAACATTCATAGGATTCCTTTTTACCTTTTCCACCCATTTGTGGCATGCATTGTGACATGTAGACACAAGGAATTTTATTTTTTCTATCTGCACAGCACACATCCTGCAATATGTAAGGAGTAAAAAAATCACAGTCACAGAATCTCAGAAGCTTAGGGGATGGAAGGGACCTCAAAATATCATCCAGTCCAAACCCCCTGCCAGAGCAGGATCACCTAGAGCACATGGCACAGGAAGGCGTCCAGGTAGGTTTTTAATGTCTCCAGAGAAGGACACTCCACAAACTCTCCAGGCAGCCTATTCCAGTGCTCTGTCACCCTTATGTTTACATGAAACCTTCTATGCTCCAGTTTGCACCTGTTTCCCCTTGTCCGGTCACTGGACATCACTGAGGAGAACCTGGCTTCATCCTCCCGACACTCGGCCTTTACGTATTTATAAATGTTGATGAGGTCACCCCTCAGTCTCCTCCGAGCTAAAGAGACCCAGCTCCCTCAGTAATCACAATATTGCTTCTGCAGGGTTGTGCAGCTATAGCAGTGAAAGAAGAAAGGTTTGCAGAGAGAAGAAAAACATTTTCTTAGACAACGTAGAATGGTAAGAAAAAAACCCAAAGACACACGTTTTGGTCCAATGTCCTTTCATCTGGTCCAAAAGGCTGAATAGACACTGGGTACAGTGCTCTTTGTTTAACTTTTGTAAACTTAGTAGTAACCTTAACCTGATTAGAAGCTATGAACAATATGATTCAGCCTTGATTTAACCCAAATTTGCCACAAGAAGATAATTTTTTCTACACAAAGCTCCAAGTTCCCAACCATCTGCCTTTATGCTGACTAGTAAGACTGTGATTAATATGGCATATGTCTTTTTGTGGCCATCTCATTTTTATGTATAACAACAGGTCTCATAACTCAGTGTTTCTTTTACAGAGGGTCTCCAGACATAAAAGGGATGAAACAGTAGTTTAAATGGTGGCACGGCTGTCACTTCCCTTGCATATACTTCCACTAGTTAGATGATGCTGGGGTTCAAATTATCCAACTAATTGGCAAAAGCAGTCCCATCATTTCTTGAGGTTACTGTAAGAAGTATAGAACATAATCTACTGGTTTCAATGGATTACCACTTTTTTGCATTCTTAATTTGATTGTGTTAATCATAAAGCATCTGTGTGATCAAGTTTGCTACCAAAGAAGTGGGCTGTGCAGAGCAGCAATTTTCAGTTGGAGAAAGGAGACAGTTTTGTTTTCTATGAGTGAAACTATTCAAAAAGTAGGAATGATTCTGACCTTTAGCCTACGGTCTTGGTCTCCACTGCACAGAGAATTTACAGACACTTTAAAGGTCTTCCAGGCTGGATTTAAGTTATTCATCACAACCTGTGAGTGAAAAAAAAGAAAAGGAACTCACAACATTTGCACATCTCCAAACAGAATGCCAAAAGGAGCAACAACTTTCAATACAGTATGTTCACCAGAAAGAGAAGAAAGCAGAGTTCAGCTGGAGGTTTGCAGAACAACATACATGGGATATTTGTCCTTAAGTGATGTGCAGTTTGCAACATTTATCCCTTTGGAAAGGCCCAGAAGCACAGGTGGGAAATGGACCTGTACACAGATCATGCTACAGAGATTGCTCCAGCACTGTCATGCCTCAGCCTGGGCATAACTCGAAAGGAAAGGCTGTGGAATACATCCCTGAACTGGAAGCCATGGAAGAGATGCAGGACTGGGCAACAGGGATGGGCAGCATCAATTTACATGCATACGGTCTGCCTTGCTGGGAAGACTTTATGGGAACCATAACAGACAGGCTCAGAACCCTGAATATGTGACACAGCTCCACCCTGTACACCTAAATGCTGCTTTTTAAGACAGTGCTAGTCATTACTATGGAAGCACTAATGAGACTGGGACACAGGAAAAAATGTAAGGCACCCAGTTTACAAATCTCTTTATCACCAGCAAGCTGGGAGGAGAGGAGAAGATGCAACAGAGTATTAATGGGAAAATTTGATACTGTGTGTAGCAGGACTGGGGCTAAACGTATAACTACTGACCTTCAAACAGAGTATCTGCCAGTTTAATAAAGTTTCAATCTTTGGCTTCAGTACCATTTTCCCTTACTCTCCTGTACATAAGTCAAGACCTGATACCCATTAATCAATAATTATGTAAGAGGTTGCTTGCAATACCCTTTGTGACGTGGGAAGCATAAACTATTCCTCCTGACAGTCCACCTGTGTCCCTGGAGAGTAAATCCAATCCTATTCCTTACCTCAGTCCTGTGAACAAGTTGTTGGGTTGCATCATCATTCATCCGGAAAATCTCCAGAAAAGGATCAGATTTGCTGAAAAAATCCTAAAATAAAATATAGGACAGGTTACTCTTGGGAATTCTTTTTCTTTGAGCTTTTCAGGCACCGTGCAGTGATGCTTTCCTGAGTGCTAGAGAAAAAGGAGAGCCAGTGTGATTTTAGTGAGAGCTCTTAGTGTCTCTCAGGAATATTTCATTCTTGTTCCACAAGGATTTCCATGGTACTGCTATTGCTCTCAGTTTGACTATTCAATTATGACAGGCAAACTGTAAAACATTATTTCAGAGCCTTTTCTCTTCTTACACCCGGTTCAGATTCCTGAATTTTAGGCTCCTTCATCCAACTAGCTTGTTTATTTCTGTTTCCATACCTGTTTGGTCTTTTGACCATGCAAGGTACTTGGAAGCATATTCTGCAGTGGGGTTGAATATCACACTCTTTGCCCACTGTCTCAAAACAGAAGTTAATTGCCCAAGACATGGTGCTGCTACCAACTAACACAAGTACTGGCAAGATGGATTAGAGAAGGTTAGAGAAGCAAGACCTCAGGATTTTGATAGCACGGCTCATGTTAAGATGACAAATAGAAGAGGGAAATGCAGAAAATTACTTGACATCTCTAAGTACAAATAATTCTGTGACAGACATTGAGGTTCACATACACAGTGCGCTGCAGAACACTTTGTTCTAGTCTTGCTAAAAACTTGGAGCATTCTTACACAAATCTAAAGTAAGTTGCTTTCTATTGCTTTGCTGCAGTCTGACCACAGACTCTTTTGTTTTCACCACCACTTTCTTTTTCTGGACGTATTGGCTGAGGGGAAGATGAGTGCTAGTCCTTCACTGAATTCTAATTTCTACCTGTGCAACACTACAAGTGCAGGACTCAAATGGTATCAGACTACTTCCTGTAGTTTCAACTCCCTTCTTCATTTATGTCTTCAGAAGAGCCACGTGGTTAACTTTATGCATATGTAAATTATTATTTTCTTTAGGCCATATAAAAAACTCCACAGACCTCCACATCAATTTGGGAAAGGGAAGGATTCTGTTTGGTCTCCTGGTGTTTCTATAAAAATGCTAGTGAAAAAAAATGACGGTAATATACACAGCTCTATAAATTTCTCCTCACCAAATGCCCACCATACTTATTTTTCACTACCTGGTTAATGGTTGGGATGGGAAGAGCTTTGGATAAGATACTAGCTAAAATTTGGGCACATCGTTTTGGCCAAATTTGTCATTAGGGCATTTTTACAATGCCACTACAGCAAAACAAGCAAAGAAATCAGGGCTTTGAAAAGGGACACATGAATTTGAATCTCTGGAGAAGAAAGTGAGTCCCCAGGGACCAGAAAGGCTTGTGTAAGGCCAGGGCAGCCTAAAGTCTTTTCTACGCCCTAAAGACGACATCTATCAACGTTGTGTTCAGAGAGCTTTCTGTGAATGATCTGTTTCTTTTCCTACTAGTAAAAAGCTAATGGTGTATTTAAAAACTGAGGTAGATCTCATGCATAAGTATTTGTTAAATCTTATAACACGAAGCTTTAAACAATAAAGCTTTGTTTGCCTGTTTGTTCCCATACATGATCATAGTACATTTAATGTAAGAGTGTGTAGAACCAGCACAAAACCCAACAAAATCTGTAACTCCAGAGTTTGCCTCAAGGCCCTGATGTAGATTTACTATTTGGACCCCTTTCATTGCTTGAAACTGCTAGTACATAGAGGACTTTGGAGATCAAATTCTGCTAGGATACCACAGCATAGCTAGGAGAAAAAGCAGAGTGTGAGGGTGCTGGTTTAATCATAATGACAAAAAAATTGAAAGTGCATAGGGTTAAGAAAGACTCAGCTGCTTCTTCTCACACATAACTACACTGATGGAAGCTGAGTAAAGGCTTCATGTTAACAGATTCTTTATCAAACATAAGTTTGGTAAGAAAAGTTACCTGAAAGAAAATACTTCAAAATTTCACATCCAAAGACTGCACCCTGGAGTGCAGAAAAACTCAGAAAAGAAACAAGGATTTTGGGTAAGACTCAAAATACAGTATCATTCCCAGCTGAGTATCATGAACATTGAAACAGCAAATCAGCACAAGGGAAGTTATTTTTAATATGTGGTTTTAACTACCAAGGCAATACCACCTAAGGGAAAAGATTTTAATGCTGGATAATAGCTGATATCACTTCTCCTTTAAGGCAAAAACAAAGCCTAATTCCTTTCAGAATGAAGGTATAAACAAAAAATCCTTCTATATTGAAGATGCTTTGTAACAACTCAAAAGTGATGGATGAGGAAACATTTTATTTCATAGCTATTAACATTTTCAAAGCTTTTTGGCTGTTATGCTGAATCTAACAGCTTAACATTATCTCACAAGAACATCCTCTCAAAGAAGAATAGCAGCAATAAAGGTTTAATGTTTTGATATTTTAATAACGTTCTAGTGATTAATGTAATGCATTTGCTAGTGGTATGATGCACATTGTTTTTTCAGTACAGTTACACAGTAATAATACAAGTACATGACTTGAACTTTAAAAATTTAACTACCTTCGTTTCTGAGCATCTAGTTTGACACATCGTTTACTACATTAATTTTCAGAGCATGACACTTTTTAAAATTCAGATTTCAGGGTCATGTCAAAGGTCCCTCAGAAAAGAGCTGAAGTAGCCAAAAGACACTATTAATTTTGAAAATTATTCAGCAGCAAGACATGGCATTTAAGGATTGTTTATTTAGTAGTACTTTAGTACCAGGGAAATGTATAAAAAAGTAACTTGTACTTATATATGTATTTTGTAGACATTTGCTGGTGAGTCTTTCCCAAGCAACGATAACTGACTGTGTTAGAACACAAAAAGCACTTTGCCTGCCCCAGTGCTCATAATTTGTTATAACTATCATAAAAACGTAGCTGCTTGTTATGGTAATTGTGACACAGCTATTAATGCAATACAACCTTTCCAAAAGTTATTGTTCTACTGTGAAGTGTTCTCAGTGGAACCCTTGAAACAAAGATGTGCCACCTGAGCTGACTGGGCTTCAATAAAACATGAAAATGCAGTTACACCTTCCAAACCAGCACTGCAATAAAAAAAAAAATATAACCTTTATCTCTGCAAAGTCAGTTAACTAAAGGAAACTTTCATACTTGTGACTTTCCTGTAATTTTTCACTGAATGTTTCAGACACCCGTTCTGGAAAAACTGAGTAGGTTTACTTGTTATGTGGCTTCTTTAAAACTCTTGCAGTTTTGGAAGGAGTAAAGAAAACCAACAAATATATCCTGCCTGATAAATTATAACAACACATTTGTTTAATCTGAAAAAAAAGTGTTGTTCATATCTTTTTCCTTAGTGGAGGAAACTCATACGTTTAAAGACCACAATCTGGATCCTTTTTCAAGGAGTTTAAAGGATGGAGGAAAAAAATTCTTGACCATTCAACACGCCACTGATGGTAATGAATGGGAAGATTTAATTTTTCTTTTTATCCTTAAAGTATATACAGAAGCTCCCTCCAACCCTTCCTTTATCAGCAAGTTGTGAGACATTAGGATTCAACTTGTCACCTGCCACGCCCAAAGCTGCCAGTGCAGAAACTCCTGGGATTATAACGGTGATCATGTGTAGCAGAAAATGAACAACTGTTTTCACAGGCTTTCTCTGCCTTTAAGGAGACTCCAAGGCCAGTTACAAGGAGGGATTCCAGTACGGAGTGGCATGCAAAACCATACTTAGGATTTTACAAGATGCCTTTTCTCAATTCTCTGATGTGGTTTGTTTGGGGTTTTTTTTGACATTTATGTGACATCGGAGAACTCCTGCTTTTTCATCAGTGGCTGAACTATGCAATTTAAGTAATTTCAAACCTTAGGAACAATAATTACTAGTAACACCTTGCACCTAATTACATCAAAGTTCATTGTAAGCTGTACCAAAAAGCCACTGCCTTTTCTTATAAATGAGGTAAGCCAAGGTTCAGCCAAGCTTAGACCTATGTCTCTAGCTGGAGGAAATTGAAACACTTCTTTTAATTGTAACAGGCTTGCAGTGATTTTCATCAGCTAAAGACAGGTGTTTTGATTCAGGGAACACACAGTGAATCATTACCTGTGTTGCCCATTGCATCATCCAGGAGGTTTTTATTAAATAATGCTCACCTTGACTGGATGTGTTAAAATTGCAAGAGTGACAGTATTCTTGCAGTATTTCAGAATGATCCTCCTTAACAAGTCCCCATAAAGTTTCAGTCTCTCTAAAAGGTGTTGCCCAGACAATGACCTAGCTCAGAAGCATACTCGGACAGTATCCTTTTAATTTACACCAAGAAGAGTCATAAGCAATCATAATATTTACACCAGATTACATTTTACTTTTGTAGAAAAGGAATTTATTTGTGGAAAAATTGAGTCTTATTATGTTGTATTTGTCCTTTCCTTTTTTTCTAGATGTGATAGCACTTGAAACAGGAAGAAACTTGGGTAAAACTTTGGAAATCACATATAATTATGCCTGTCTAAAGACAGGTTGTTAAAGCTACATTTTGACACCTAAATAAATTACACAATTCAGAAACACTAAAACTCCAACAACTCTGATGGAAGAGGTAATTAATCTTTCAGATGAGAAGCAAATTCAGGTCCTGATCATTTATGATTGTTAATGATCCTGAGCATAGTAATGTTATTCACCTGTATGTTCTAAATAAATTCCAGTACTATTAATCTTCCAGTGTACTTTCTGCTTGCCCAAGTTTTTCTGGCAGTTTCAACCGAACTATTATTCATCTGTTATGGTCTAAATTTGAAAATCTGATGTATGTATCCAAAAATACTCTCACTGATTTGATTTTAAGCTACTCACATGTCAAATGTTTACAAGCACCTGCTTGGGGCATCAGAATCGTAAACTTTTCGGTAGTGTTACCATGTGTTTCTAATTAGAAGTAGCTTCATATATAAGAAAGGACTATGGGCTAATGGTAGATATTGTGATCCAGTACAAATAATCTGATCTTCAGTGATATGTAAAGCCCTATTATATAAAAAGGGTCATAGTCTTAGGACATCTATTAGTTACAAAGATATTCACCAGATTACCTCAAATAATTTTGTGCCTGCTATTATAGTGAAATAACAGAGTGACTTACAAGCAGTCATCTGGATTTCTTGTGAGGTGCTTATTTTATACATATATCACTAAAAAACAACAGACATTTTCAGAAAGAGTCCATGCAAGAGTCCTTTTTAAAAATTCAAGCTACATTTTGTTGAACACATTTATATCATAACTGAGCTATTACAAAGTTTTCTAGCTTTATTTTAAGATGATTACTTCAACTGTAACATCTTTGATTACTTAGAGAAAGCTCACTCCTCTAAGCACTTGTGATCTGTGGCATTTTAAATAATTAAAATTGTCTTGGTTGTAGCATAATTAAATTGTCTTGGTTTTAATTAGATTCCCTTAAGTTTTGTGGGTTTTTTTTAATTACTTTGCAACTTGAGGAAAGCCTCATTGTGAACATTCACTTGAAATCTCTGACGTGTTTAATAATAAAAGGCAAAAAAAACCTGTTGGGGAAAATCTCATCAAATTATATTTGCAGGCGTTCTTATATCTTTCAGCAAGGTTAATATCAAGCAGCTTACCTTGTCATCCAATTTCCGTGCACTGAATGAAAGTTCAACGTAGTCGTCATTGCCAGACAATTCCTCAGCAATCACCTAAATGGAAAGTTACATTTGAGTTCTGCATGGTGTAATGAAAGGGGAGAAAGATGCCATTTTCCAGTGTGAAGACTGTAGACCTCCAGTAGGAAACTGAAGTGTGGTACAAGTTAGTATGTCTCCCTCTGCAATCAGGAAAGGCTAAGAGCATTCAGTGAATCCCTTGCCCAGCTGAAGGGTGGCACCTTGTTGGGCCCACAAACCTAAATCACTTTGGATCACACAAATATGTCTTGTCAATGGATAGACATCAAAACACTTTCCTCTAACCTTTTCCTCAGATAGGACAATGGAGAACTCCAGTCTCACAGTGTCTAAAGGGACTAAAAAACTATACAAGAGTTATGTTATTTGGGTCTAAATACTAATTATTTTTATGCTGCTTCAGCATCATTTGACAAGCTAAATGAAATCACCTCTCATTACTTGCCATGGCACATTTACAGTAGGAAGTTCTCCTGGTATAGTTTTTTCTGCAACAGCTACATTGGCAAAATCATTTACTGTAGAATGAGTCAGGAGAAAGTAACATTAAAATAATGTAGTGTGATTTTTTCAGGTGTCGTAAGCTCTGCAGGTAATGATGCCAGTCACTGTGCTGTGCAATGTTCTTAAAAAAAAATCCAACACAACCAACCAAAATGGCCTTCCTGACTAAGCTATTAAAATGCCTCAGTGGAGAGAAGGTAGTAATGAAATCTGGGATATTTCATTAAAATATGTTCTTTGAAACAAACTGTATTGTATTCTTTTTGACAGCTATAAAATCTTTCCTATTGTAAGTACTGTCCTCAGAGATTAAATCACCAAAATCACCCATTCCCTGGGTGTTCATGCCCACAGCCACACACTTAGCAGCCATGTCAGCCCCCTAGCCAGGCCCAGACAGTCTCCACCCCACAGCCTGTAGGTCCTCAGGGAGTTGCTGGGGTATTTCAACTATTTTTCAAACAGGACGAAGGCTGCTGAGGTGAGAGCTGCAGCCAGAGCCCTGCAGCTCAGGATGCTTTTACTGCCCACAAATGCAACTACCAGTAATGAGCCAGGCTACCTACAGCCTCAATAAACTTCAGTATCACTGGGATTGTGTAAGACCCTTTGACAGAAACTAACTTAGGGCCTGCACTAGGCATAACTGACCAGGTTTTGGTAGCAGGGGCTGTGGGGGTGATTGTGAATGGCCTCATGCTGGTCACAGCTGGTCTGGCCACAGGCAGGAGCTACCAACTGCACCCATGATCCATAAGAAGTGCATACAGTGCTCCAGTATGAGGGTATTAAGAAAGGGTGGCAGCTGCTAGGAGCATGAGGCAGAAAGGGAGGTGCCGTAGGTTATGAGGCCACCCTAAAGAAGATCCAAGAGAAGGCAGGGAGAAGGGGATGTTGTAGGGGACACAGCTGGAGATGTGCTCTTGGAAAGAGGTTTTCCATGCCTGAGGAGCTACCTCTGAGGACATGCAGTGTGCAGGTAAACCTATGCTGGAGCAGGGATGCCCTGAAAGAGACTGAGGCCTACGTGCAAGCCCATAGCAGAGCTGAGAAATGAGCAAGCAGGAAGGAGCCCTGGGCAAAATGAGTAAAGAACAAAAGAACACAAAGAAGAAATCGCTATGCTCTGATCCTGACCACCTGTCACCTCAGCAAAGCAACTAAGCAGAACATGTAATGAAGGCAAGGGGAGTGGAGACTGGAAAGGAGTCATAAGAGGTATCTGAAGTTGAGACTGGGGAATGGGGAGGAAAAGATGTTTTCCCTAAGAGTTTGTTTGTCATATTTGTTTCTCAATACCCAAATCAGTAACTGAAAGTTTAAATTAATTTGCAACAAATTAGATTAAATAAAATTCCCCAAGCTAAGACTATTCTGGCTATGACACCTCACAGCAGTAAACTGTGGTATTTCCTCATGCAAAAATTCACATGTAGCCTCACAGGGACACAGATGCTTAATTGTGAATTAAATTGCCATCACACAGGCATGCATATGATGTTTCATATGTTCCAGACATATGTGAGCTTGCTGGAAATCTGACTCACAGAGTCGGATACTTTTCTCTTCAATGTAGTCTGATGGTTTAAAAGATCACAAGCTTGATGATGAACAGAGCTGCGGGATTTTCACATCAAGTTTCACAAATACTTTAAACTGAAAACAATGAACTCTGTCTTAAAGAGGTTGACAGACTTCCAGCTGGAGAAGATGAATGAGGTTCTGTTTTTATCCTGCAGTCATATAATAACATTGTATTGATGAGACGTTACATGGTTAAAGGGCTAGTAAAATTCCAGCAAGACATGCTGAGACAGGAAATTTAAAAATCCTACCAAGACCTCATAATTCACTATGCTGAACAAATCAGGAAACTAGTATTTGCAACTTCCATACTTGACAGACAGCTGGTATGTACCCTGGGTCTAGAAATAAGGATGCATAATACACTTTTACTTCTATTCAGCCAGAAAACTTCTCACACAATATTTTTTGTCTGAGTTCAGTTTTCTCCCACTTGAGTAAGTGGACTTGCTCTTTAGTACCACTGGCCAGAAGCCAAAACAAGTAATTAAGGTTCATGTTTCATAGTTATCGTCCAATGTTAGGCCAACAGGGACAATTAACTAATTTTCTCTCATCTTCTGTATATCACAGACCATTAATTTTTGCCAGAATACCCTGCTACCAAGCCTAATGATTTTCATTGAATTGAGCATTTATGCTTTCACAAGGTGAAACTCCCTCGTACTCCTCCTAGGTCAGGGTGTGGGTAGGTGTGTTCAAAACATCACAGAGATGGATGAGATTAAGTATGCCCAGATAAACCCAGCAGGCAAGCCACACCAAGTAATTCAGGGAGGAAAGCTCTCTCCTGATTCTCTTCAGCTGAAGAGTGGGGAATTCCTTTTCAACCCCAGACCAAAAATGAGTTACACCTTATGCAGGTGTCTCCCTTCCCAGGCAGACACTAAGGAAGACATCTAAGAAAGAAAATTTCCTGGGGTCTCAGAAAGTATTATTTCTCAGAGTCTGCTGTCTCTTCTATGGCTGAAGGCAGGAAAAAAATCCCAAACAATTAAGTGAGAAGAAACCCATCCGGCTAACTGCACATCAAGGAAAACAGTCCTTCTCAATCCCTTGAGGCAACAGAGCAGAGATTCCCAAAGCAGAATATTTTATTATAGTCTTTGTCTTCAAGCACAGCTGCAAAAGCCACAAGCATGCCAGGTTCAGTGCAGACAAGCTTGATCTCCAAAACAAGCCAGCAAAGAAAAAGATGAAAGAGAGTTAATTCATTGATATGAAGATTTCAAGATACACAGGGGGCTGCTCTAATTATCCAGTCCATAACTGTATTACAACACACCTGAAATACCTACTGTCATCAAATTCTGCATTTAATTTTGCTGGCTGTGGGTGTGTGTTCTCTGAGGCAGGACTGATTTTTTTTTTAGAAACTGGAAAAAATCCATAGGCCGAGAAAGATCAGATTTGTTCATGTGTCAAAGTGGGTCAAAACGATTTTCTGAAGGTTCTACAGATTCAACTAAAAGTAATCAAGCAGCTTAACTTTCCTGCTGTCATCAAAGTACCTTAAAACTAGAAGTAGAAAATATTGTGTCTTTTGTACAAATCATACATTATTTGTTTTCATTTCCTTACAAAAAGCATTTGTCAGGAACAGTAAAAGTAATCTGCTAAATAAACAATCAAGGGTTGTTCTGGTGACTTAGCAGGATGCTTTTAGGGAGAATTAGTCACATTAGATGCTTCTAAATAACAGAAAAACAAGACTTACTGTTATGGATGACTTTCCTGCTGTGTTCCCATGTTTGAGTAATGACTTGGAGAGTTTCCTCTGAGAAACAATCTGCACAAAAATAAAAACAAAGATTAAAAAAAAGAGAATCTGTAGTAAATGCATGGCTTATTGTGATTTCATTTTTATGTTGCCAAGTTTGGGTTTTTTTTTTTATTTGGTTGGGTTTTTTTGTTTGTTTGTTTGTTTTTATTGAGGTAGTATCTTAGTCCACAAAAAAAATCCTAGCACAGTAAGACCATGATTGAGAGGAAAAGTTTCCAAGGAAGCCTGCAGACAGGATGCAATGGAAGCACAAAACAAGTAGTTGGGGTGAAGCAGAATGGGAAGAACACAGTTCAAGGAATTGAACACAATACCAGAAAGTGTACCTGAGATTTTCCTCAACTATTGTCATGATAGCAACAGGAGGACAGAAGCAAGCATTAAATGGACTTAAAAGAGGAGGGAAGCTGTACACAGCAAATCCATCAGAGATGCCTTCAAAACCCATTTTTTTTTTAGGAAATTGAAGTCCATTTAGAAGAGAAAGCATTAATTTTATTTTAAAATATCAGCAACTCTAAACTCAGAAGCAAGCCCCATAGAATCTGCCCCATATTTTTAGTTCCAAAATTTTCTCCTCTGCTTACCAGGAACCAGACCTATCCTGAAACTCAGCATTACAAATGAATTTGTCCATTGACCAATTTATAAATGTACCTAAAAAAAAGGTTATCAGGGTGACACTGACAAAAGATATTATTTCCTACATCAATCATAATTAAATTTCCCTAGCAGTCTTCAAATATTTAAAACTAGCCCAGTAAAAAAATAGAAAAGGAAAAAAAACACACCTCCAACATACATAATTAGTAAGCTACAGTGATGCCCCAGTATATTACGTCCCTCCCATCTGTAAAATATATGCTGTATTAATTTGTTTTTAATTAGAAAATGTAAAAAATGTAGACAGATGTAGACGTAACTCCAAACACAGCTTAGGAATCACATTTATTACTATTTTTAATGTGACAATACTGCAGCAGGATCGTGTTGTGCCAGGTGTTGTGCAGATACTGACCAAAAAAAATTGCTTCCACTCTAAGAAAAACCCTAACCTCTGAAATGTGGCTTTTATACTAGAAAGAGTCCTTTCCCACATCCAACATTACTTCCATCTTTGGCAAAATATGCAAAAGTATCAGTTGTAAAAGAGAGGCAGTAATTAAGGGAAAGGAATGGCTCCAGGCCCTTCATTGGAGTCCTGGGTATCGTATGCATTTCAGTGATAAGCCCTGTCAGTAGGTAAAGGCCAGAGCTGCAGCAGTGTGAGGAATACAAAGTCATGGACAGTCAAAAAAGGTGTTGTGAGATAGGAGCAAGTAGGATGTAAATTTCAGCCTAACATCACCACGGGGACACATATATGCCTGGCCCATCAGTTCGCTGAATTGAACTGAAAAGTGGAAATAGCTCCTCAAGTTACAACTATTGTCATAATGGAGAAAGAAGAACAAAAGCAAATTTCAAATGGACTTTAAACATGAGATAGGAGAGCCATCACAGGGCTGGATCACAGGCTTGTCACAGAGCTGGACAGGACATGCAAAATCACTTTGTCCAGCTTTTGGTCCTAATGCAGGACCCGCTACACCTAGGTAAGCTACACCTGACAGATATGTGCTTCATCAGTTATTAAAGACATCAAGAGGTATAGGGAAACATTTTTTTTTCCTGCCAATTTATTATGGTATTCATTATCCTTACTGTAAATATATTTCCCTAACAGCTAACCCAATTCTTTTCAGTCTAAGCCAATTATTTCTGTCTAATGCACCATGAATAAGTAAGACAATGCTTTTTTCATTCCTATTTCAGGCAATCTGTGTTTCTGAAGACTAGTATCAACTCTCCACAGTCTTCTTTAGACTACAGAACCAACGTTTATCCTATATTTCCTTTTTGATCAGACTTTGTACTCCTCAAATCACTCACTGTTCTCTGCTGAGCTCTCACAGACTGGTCCATAACCTACTCTTACAATAATGCTCAAAAGTGGACATAATACTCCAGATCCTTCCTACATAAGAAGAGCTTCTCATGTCTTGCAAGCTATGCTACTGATACACTCCAGAATTGCATTGGACTTATGTTATGAACAACATCATACTGTTAACTAATGTTCATTTTACAACCATTTCAGATTGCCAGCTGTTTCTCACCCTGCATTTTTGCAGCTGGCTGTTACTTAAGTGAATAATTTAACACTTGTAATTTTTGGACTGCTTTCCATAAACCAGCATGCTCCCATCATTTCACTCACTTTTCCAACTTAACTTTTGGATTTCACCACTAGTATTGGTCAGTGGCAAGACCAGAAGTACAGGTAACATGACCAGTACTGCTGAGATTTAGATGTCCTTTTTCTTTCATGGGACCTTTGGAAAGATTGCTTGCTGTGACCATTTAAGTCACCAATTCCTCTGTCTTCTTGCCAGCTAAGCAGGTTCAAGTAAAAATCGTTGCCCTCCTGTGAACTGTGAGGTGAAATTTTTAAAAAACTCCTTGTTTCGGATTCTCAGATGAGGGGTAACACAGAAATACAACAGATTATTCTTGATATATCATTAAACTATGGTTTTTTACCAACCAGAAAATGAATGATAGCAGTTGCAGAATAGGGCCCATTTATCATTATGATTTCTCCCCTCTTCCCTGAGATGCACAGACAACTCTGTAAAGTACAGTAATGTCCTGGTTTGAGCCAGGATGAAGCCACTTGTTGTTGATCCTGAATCAAACCGTGACAAGTAAGTTCTTCCAATGAAAGCTGTGCCTATTGTGTACCAGAAACTGTCTCATGTATGTTACATATATATACATACACACACACTCCCAGTATGAGATAGAACTTGGATGAGAACCTGTCCTTCAGCTAACCTCCTTTAGAAACAGGACTTCTACCCCTGAAATACCAAAATTCCTCCAGCTCCTTTGCTGCTTTGAAAAGCATCCCAGCTTCCCAGAGGCACCAGGTGGACAAAAGCCTGAAGCTCGGGAATCCCCATGCAGGTGGCAGATAGACAGCTCACAGTTAGAGAGAAGAGAATTTATTCTGACGTTCCCATTAGTAGATGGCATTAATAAGACTCCCTCTCTAAGCCATTAGCAACGTAGTAACACAGAAAGCACTCTGCATATGTAAATATGTGTATTTGGGTGCAACCGTTTACCAGTTGTTAATTAAGTGGCCAGTAAAATGAATCTTCCATCTGACAACAATGTGCCAACATCTTTGCCTCCAACTGTAATTAGCAATTTAGGATCAGCAGAAGCAGACTCTCATTGCATAACTGTCAAGGAATATTTTCCTCAGCAGTAAATTGTCCTTTTTTTTTTTTCTATGCCCTGTACAAAAAGCAGTTCTCATTGTTTGAAACCTACTGTTCATTATTTATTGTGCTTGTCATCATCTGAACATCATAATAAAAAGCATTTGCTGACCTGATCAAAATATGCAAGTCCTGGATAGTGATAACTCGAGGGCTTAGAAAGCATTTACCTAAGTTCAGAATCAGAGATGGCTGAACTTCTAAAATGGCTTCCAAGAAGACAGTGAACTACAAGTCTTTCACTTGTCAAGAATCTTTGGTTTGGCTCCTACTCCAAAAGCTTGCAATTTAAAACTTCAATGTCAGAGAAAAAAGTGTTTTATCCCAAACTGTTGCGAATAAGTGCAGAAAGCAAATGTCTCCCTTCCAAAACAGCAGAATCCAGTTCAGCCCTTGTAAAGCCCATTACATTTCCAGAACATGTTTTTTTTTGAGAATATTAGAAGCATGACCTACCACTGAACAAATGGATGTAGAAATGTCAGAGATTTAAGAGGTGAGGCTAAGAGGGACTTAGGAAATCAAGTTTATTTGCAGCTATACACGCATAGAAACTACTACCCAGTTCTGGTCTGACACAACCACATGTCCAATAATGCCTTCCTTACTGAATATGTTTGCAAAAGGTGGGAATAGGAACAGAATATTTCAGACAAGGACGATAAGCACATAAAGTCATTACTATTTATCAGTCATGCAAACATCTCAATAGAAAATAATCTTGATAGATTTCTGGTCTGCAGTGCTAAGGGATATCAGCTTCGTGATAAGACGTGGATGGGAAATTCCCTTGAAGATGATCTAAATTTGCTTTATTATGTATGAGCCCAAATATGTTAAGGACAGATCTGAATAGAACCTCTATATTGCTGTAATTAAATTTGGATTCCCATGTTGCCCTTTGTTCCTATTTCCAATTTAAAATACATAAAAAGTGCTTTGCTTTATTTTAAAAGTATGAACAGACATGACACTTTGCCTACAAGCACTGAAGTACTGGCACCAGCTGCATACAATGCATTGCCCAGCAGTCACTCAGAGACAAGGACTCTGATGAAGGTTTGCTCTCTTCTGTGTCTAAGTCTTGACTCATCAGCACTATGTACAATGAGCTGAGAAATATAAGGACCTATTTAACCTGGCTTGTGTAAGAACCTTTAAAATATATTTCTCTTTGTGGTCTTTCCTCAACAATATATAAGAAGAGCTTTCAATAATATCATAAAGCATTTCCAATTTTTATAAATCAAACTAATGAGAAAATATCAATACAACTTTCTAACCTAGTGATTTAGCATTGGCAGGAACAGATAAATCTCATATATCACACTGAGAAGTCCTGTTTATATTGACAGTTTGGGCTGGTTCAAATTCTTTCAACACCATTAACTCGGTTTTGCAAGGCACTACCCTGAGCTAGAGGCGTGTTAGTCACACTCCATATTTCCTCTGGGATTAGAAAGCTGTGTGGGTTTTGTTTATCTATTTGTTTCAATTATATTGACTTGTGTAATATCTAGCTGTGGACATAACACCAATATTCTTTTGTTGAAGGCTTCTTGAAACACCCATGGATACGAGCCATGGCTCCTTTTCTATTTATGTGCAAGGCCATTTGGCTTTTGTTAACTCATGTTAACTTGGCTTTTGTTAACTATTGTTAACTTTTGTTGACAA